ATTTGATGATTTGAATTATTTAAGTTGTAAAGTTTGTTAAGAACATATTTAGACAAAAAATTAACTTGATCGGCCATTGAGAGTTACCTTGTCAAATCATATTTTTCATAAAAAAAAATAGATGTTAAGTATTATCTTAAAAATAGACCCCTTTTTTTTTATATACAAATACAATGGTTTAAATCACTAAAACGGATCCAAAATGCGCCCATATCCATGCAAAGATTGAAGACAAGCTTGATTCGTATATATATATATATATATGAAAAATATTAGTTTTCATAAAAGAAATATCAAGAAAAATTTCATGAAGTTTTTAGAAATAATCTAATTTTGATAGGTAACAAAGTAAGAAAAGAGGTTTACCTTAATGTAAATATATTTTAATTTTCAAGTCTTAGTGTGCAAATAGTATAAATTTAGTTTTGTCTTATAGTGCTCTATGATTAATAAGTTATAAATTGTATATAATTGCATAGAATAATTCTATATGTATCAATTAATGTATACACTAGTATACGTCATTTGTATGGTTTTAGATATTTGTAACTTGTATAATAAATGTGGTCAATAATAATATCATAACACTAATTGGTACACTAGTGTGTACACTAATTAGAACATATAGTACCACCGAATTATATAACATATAATAAAATATTATAAACTAATCTAATGGAGGATAGTCTTTATGACTATCTTCCTCAAAAGTTTTTATGAAGCGTAACATTATTCTATATGTTTACGCCATGATGTTTTTGCTTTGAAAAACAAAAAAAACATTTGAAAGCAATCAAGACAAGGTGAGGCCAGAAGAGAAGGCAATGCCAGCCATGTTTAAACCCTTCATCTTGCAATCAGGGAGTGGGACCCAAGTCCAATGCTTTCTCTTTATATCATAGCGTAGCCAAATTATGCCCCAAATGCCTTCAAAGTTGGACATCAAGACAGCCCTAACTGTTCCTTGTCTTTCCTCTATACACCCCATTATAACCCCATAAGGCTTCTTAATCTTCTCAATTAGCCCACTTGGTACCATTGATATGAATTCCCAACACGTACCATTTGAGCTCAACCCCCACAGTTCTACACTTTCTAACATCCTTCTCCTTTTACTCACATCATCAACATCATCTGATCTAAGAATCATCATATTTCCATCACCGTACACATGTAATTGGTCAAATACGTTCCTCTAACTGAATCCTATAGCCAATCGTTGCTCTTCCGCTCCCCTATGAAATCTCGGTCGTATAACCACCAGGTCGTCATCACCTTCGGATCCAAGGGCAATAAGGACACTTCCACTCATTCCATTAATGACACTAAGGAAAATATAGTCACCCCCTATTTCATTAACACATGGAAAATTCCGAACATTTCTTTTGCTTCTATAGATCGCCACTTGTCAATCTCCGAATTATACTCAAATAAAATTGGATGGCTTTCATGATATTCAATGTTAGCAGATATTTTAATATTATAATGTGTTATTGGTTTGATTTGTTTTCTTTTCCTCCAAGAATCCTTCAAGTCTTCTTTTCTAAGTCTTCGCCAAGTCAAGTCAAGTCTCCATCCTATTCTCATTCATCAAGTCTCCAAATCTTCTAAGGAAATTGCCCGCCAATTTCCTTTCCTTTTCTTGTCCACCAAGAATAACCCTCCAAACTTTCTCTCCTATATATTCACACAACACATAAATTTAATGTATTCTTTCAACCGTCATACTCAATGACACATTCCAGTGATTAGTTCCAGTTTGCCTAATCATCATGCATTGTCTACAACAATCAAGACTATCCTCCATCGATAGCCCAAAGCAGCTATTTCTATACAGAAAATAAATGCGACAATGGATATATAATCAACATTTCAACTAGGTGAGTGATAAATGATCCAACTACACCCTTTAACCCCTTCCCTTTCCAATTTCAACATTTTCAAGTCAATCCCTCATTTCCAACAATTAATTATACAAATTAATCAATCAATGTAATTAGGGCATTTTCCATAATTAACATTATAACCCTTAGGTTCCATTTTCATTAATGTTTCAACATTAATTTCACTTTTCCATGCCAAACATGCATTTTGGTTTTTATATAGCTAAAACCCCAACTTTTATAAATTTACGCAAAGGCCCCAAACTTTCACAAAATTACCAAACCAACCCCAACATCTCAAAATACTAAAATTTAAAGACAAAGCTCATAAAGAGGAGTAGGATATCCCTACCTCGAAGTTAGAGCTCGAATGGAGAAGAAGCCAAAACCAAAATGCTCCAAAGATCAAGATTTTCGGATCAAAACGACGCCCTCGACGATCAACACAACTTTTACAAGGGCCGAAGAGAAGGAGGAAGTTTCTAGAGAGAGAGGCTCTCAAAAATGGTTTTTAGGAAAAGTAGGAGAGAGAAAGAAAAGCAAAAAGTGATTTAAAATCACCCAGCGGATAACTCATATACGTATGACCCGCTCGAGCGGAGAACACAACGCTCGAGTGGCAAGAACAAAAATCTGAACACGCTCGAGCGCAATAATACCCACTCGAGCGCCAAGACACAAGGATAAAGTACTTCCTCTCGAGCGCGAAAACCAGGCCGCTCGAGCGTAGATCTCCACCTCCCAGAACTTAAACCTAGAAAGTACTACCTGCTCGAGCGTCAACAGACCCGCTCAAGCGCCACTGCTCGAGCGTAAACAAACCCGCTCGAGCGTAAAAATCACATCTGCAGAAGTTTTGCAGGAACACGAAATACTGGAGGTGTGCAATCCCCGCTCGAGCGCAATAAGACTCGCTCGAGCGGATCGCCTAAAAACTGAACAACAAGGAATTGAAACCAAGGCCTAACCAACCTGTAACAAACCTGCCCAAAACATCCTAAAACTCAATCAAGTGGAATTAAAGGACAACAACAAGATAGATACCACTACCAACTTCACGGAACCGAGTCCGGAATACAACAGAACAGTAAAGGGACAACCGAGATCGCTATAATCAAACAACAAGAAAGGGTGAAAAGACAGAGACATCAAAAACAAGAACCTGCAGATGAAGCTAAAAAACAAGTAGAAGCAAAAGAAAAAATAAGCGAACAGCAACAATCCATTGAAGGTAAAAAACAATAGCAACTTATATAGATGTCACACGTGAATTGGTGCAATGAATTCCTTCCCAACTATTGCCACATGCATCCGACCCAACCCAATTGAGTGCTCTGTTTTGCTGATCATTATTAGAACTCTTCACTATATAAGCTTTGTTAGCTTAATTACGTAATAAATTTTGTAATAATTCTTCTTATTCTTATTTGATTGTTTGAATTATTTTGTTTCCTAGCTAACAAAACCAATACAAAGGAATTACAAATATATTCAAGTTTTATCAGTGTTTCTTTGGTTAATTAAATGATAAATTTGGTTGTATATCCATAAATTTTGCATGGTTTGCCTACTTCATTAATATCCTTCTTTTATATAGATGTTGTGAGCTCTCTCATGACATTATCTATGCCAGAAAGAAGATCTTTACCAGCAAAAACCCAAAAGCAAGAAGAGAAACAAAACAAAACAAAAAAAAAGCAACAAGTCAACAAAAAGGAAACTGTAAGAACAGCAACAAGAACCACACAACAAGAAAGGGAGAAAAGACAGAGACATCAAAAACAAGAACCTACAGATGAAGCTCAAAAACAAGCAAAAGCAAAAGAAAGAATAAAGAAACATCGACAACCCATTGAAGGTAAAAACCAATAGCAACTTATATACATACCACACATGAATTGGTCCAATGAATTCCTTCCCAACTATTGCCACAACTTCTGACCCAACTCAATTGAGTGGTCTGTTTTGCTGATCATTATTAGAACTCTTCACTGTATAAGCTTTGTTTGCTTAATTACATAAAAATTTTTGTCATAATTCTTCCTATTCTTCTTTCATTGTTTGAATTATTTTGTTTGCTAGCTAACAAAATCAATACCGAGAAATTATGAATATATTCAAGTTTTATCAGTGTTTCTTTGCTTAATTAAATGATAAATTTGGTTATATATCCATAAATTTTGCATGGTTTGCCTACTTCATTGATATCCTTCTTTTATATAGATGTTGTGAGATCTCTCATGACATTATCTATGCCAGAGAGAAGATCTTTAACAACAAAAACCCAAAAGCAAGAAGAGAAAGACAAGAAAGAGACAAAAACAAGGACAACAGAAGGAAACAGCAGAAGGATGAACCTGCAAATGAAAAGGAAACAGCAACAAGACAAAAAAAAGGTAACAGCAACAAGAGAAACAACCAGCAAACAGGAAGAAAGGAAGAAAAGACAGAGACAGCAGAAGGATGAACCTGCAAATGAAGCTCAAAAACAAGGACAACAAAAAGAAACAATAACCAAACACCAACAATAGAAAAGAGCAGAAACAAGAACCAAGCCCCAACAAAACAAACAAGAACCAAACCAGCACAAACCAAAAGGCAAGAAGAAAACAGAGGGAAGAAAAACAAGAAGTGATCAAATTCATGACCGTGAAGCAAAATATGTGTACCGCTCAAACATGCTATCCCTCATCAGATTCTTCAATGCCACGAAACTTGAAAATGAGCATTTCCAAATATTGAAAAAGACTCCCTTCTTCCTTCTGGTTGACATTTTGTCAAAGCAAAAGGTGCAAAAAGCAGATTCAATAAAATATGATGATGTGGTTGCAAAAATCTTGCAAACATACCAAATGGATGGAACCACATTTCAAATTGGAGGGAAGAAGCTAAAGTTGAAAAGAAATGATTTCAAGTTAATTTTTGGGATTGCATGTGGACAAAAGAACATGCATCTTGTATATGGAAGAAAAGATGACATAGATTTGGTAAAAAGAACGAAAATAAGAGAGAATAGAATGACAAGTACTTCAATCCAAAAGTTGATAACCAAACTTTTGAGAAGCAAGAAGAAGGAAGACAGAGAAGATGTTGTGGGGCTTGTGTGCCTCTTGATTTGCTTGCTCTTGTTATATCCTGGTACTGGCACTACAATTGGTTGGGGGTTCATGAAATATCTTGAAGATATTGACAAAATGAAGTCTTATGATTGGTGCGATGCAGCAAAGCAACATCTCACAAAATCAATAGAAAGAAACATCAACCAAATTGATAAAGTGTCTGGATGTGTGATGGTCATATTGGTAAGTAAATATCTCACTTATAACTTATGAACTGTAATATTTACGTTTACTAAATACTTGTTTATAACAATTTTTTTGTCTTCAACAGTATTGGATATGCGAACACACAAGCACCATCAAACCCAATGCCAAAAATGCAATCCTAAGATTTGCTAAATGGAACATCACATGTTTGGGACAGAAATTGGCAAGTTCATCCTTGCAAGAGCCAAAAGATATTGTGGTATGCAATGCTAACTTTTGTTTTGTTTAAACAAATGATAGATTTTCTTATGTAGTGATAAATTTTTGTTCACACTGATATATTTATTTAATTTGCCTAATTAAGTGACAAATTTCCCTTAGTATACCTAATTGAGTGATAAATTCTTTTATCCAGTGAATGTTTTTCTATTTGTCTACTGTGCATGAGTTTTGTTTAATATTTACTTTCTTTGTGTTACTTTATATTCGACTAGAATTGATTAGGTTTCTGTATTGATAAATTTATCCGTAAAAATGAATTGAATTAGACATTTTGTCTTATATTTACTTTTTTAGCTTACTTTTGCTAATTCAGTGATAAAATTTGATATACAATGACAGGTTTGCTTACTATGCCCAGTTCACTGTTAAAATTTGCTATAACAATCATAGATTTCTTTAATTTTCCTAATTGAGTGATAAAATTTGCTATGAGAAATTTATCTCTGAAACTTGTATCATATCATTCATTTTTTTAATTTTCATCTATATAGGAGAACAATTTGAAGCACATAGATAAAGAGAAAAAAACATACCGAATGCTGCTAGGAGAAATTCAGGATAAAGATGAAGATGAAGATGCTGATTTTCAGCAACAAAATCAGGTTGAAATTTCTGAAATAGAAGAACAAACATTGACTGAAGACAAATCCAAACATAAAACATGGGAACCAATTCCACACAAAATATGCCCTGAAAAGAAAAAGAAAATAGTACCCTTTGAATCACAAAAGAGTGAAGGAAACAAAGTTGACAAAGAGCCTGAAGTGGATCCAAATCTGGTAGAAGTACTTGTTTTTGAGAGGATAGAAGACGACATGCTCAAAATGGAAAAGTTAAAAATGGAAAGGGACATCTTTCAAACTGCAAATGATAACCTGCAGCAGCAACTCAACAAGCTGAAAAAGGAAATGCAAGAACATCACAAAAAACAAATGCAAAGGAAAGATGAAGAAATCAAAATACTCTATGAGAGAATTGCAACATTGGCTGAGGCAAAAAAGTACTCAGAAGAACAACACACACAACAACAGCCTGCAATCAAGAAATTGAAAACTTCAAACGAAATTTTCAACATCCTACTAGAAAAATCAAGGCAAAATCTCATTGCACATTGGGTGAATACAAAAAAAAAAGAAGTAGCAATCTTCTCTCTTGACTCCTGTAGTTCACTTTTGCCAACTGTTTATCATTAACTCATATTGAATTTATAAGTATCAAATATTCCAAAAATATTAATAAATTTATTATTCCAACACTAATAACCATTTTTTCAAGGATCAGCCAGTGTGGCAAGGATCTCACCATGGAACCTATGTCTCCTTAAATGACATTGACAAAATATTGAAGGGTCAAGATTTGACAGGCATTGTAATTTGAATTGTAACTCATTAAAATAACATTTTAGTGTTTGATTTATATTAATTCCTTGTTTTGTTTTTTGTTTTCAACACAGGTAATAGATGCATATGCAGAACATTTGATTGCACAAAAACAAGGAACAACATCATTCGTATTCATTTCAAGTTGCCATGTAAGTAACTAGTTTGCTTAACTGAGGAACAACACTTGTTTTGTTTTTTATCTGTGTATAACCACTGTTTGCTTAACTGAGTAACTATTTTGACCTTGTTATTGTGGCGCCACAGTATGAGTAAATCCCAGACTTTGATTAAAAATTCTGGAAACTTTTTTGGGTTTTCAAAACTACTACATATGATATTGAGAACTTCAACAAATATTGAGATGTGTTGAAATTGAAATAGCTTGATTATATGCTATGATGTTGCAGGACATAGTTCACTTTCATTTTGTTAGTGGTGAAGCCTCATAAAGCTCTTGTTTGATGTAATTTATTAAGTAACGGACAACTTTCATTACAACTATGGAGTGGAGAGAATCATGATATACATATATATATATATATATATTAGTAGATGTGCACACTCACATGAGTGTACTTCAAATAAGCAGTATGGATATATAGCCTGTTACAGATCACCTATGAATATTTACATAATGAAAGAGAAGCATAGTATAAATATAGTAGGGGATATAAAGATCCATTTCATATGGAGGAGAAAAAAAGCCCTCAAGACACCAATAGATGTGTTCCCTTTATATGTAGTATACATGAATTTTGCAATGCACTGATACATTTTGATATGGATTGATAAAAATTTTGATCACAGTGATAAAAAGTTTCATACTCACCACCTATTTAATTTGAAAAATTTTAAAGTTAAGTTAACATTATTTTTTTTTATTTATATTTGTTAGCACTTGTTCACTACAAAAGATGAGGAAGCAAGACAAAGAATGCTGAACAAAATGATGCTAGAAGCCATGAAAGCAAGATACCTTCTCTTCCCAATCCACCAAAATTTTCACTGGACAATACTTGTCCTTGACATTGAAAAAGCTACATGGAAATTCTACAATTCGAGGAGACCAAGGGGAACAATGACTAAAGATCCACACTTCAATGCTGCAAATGAAGTGGTAAAAATCTTTTCACTATCAAACTTACCATTAATCCAATACATAAATCCTGATCCATGCTTAATTATACATCAAAAATTTATATAGTAATATATTTATCATTCTTTAAATCCATGGTTTCTCATTAATTGTTTCAACTGACTTTCTAATACAACAATTATACAAATGTATATGTTGCAGAGAGAGATTATTCAAAAATACATAAAGGATGAGTACCCAACTCTCATTCAACCTGATAAGTTTCAACAGCAGACAAAGAACGTCATCAACACACCACAACAAGAAGACACATCGTAAAACATTGTTATTTAAAAAAAAAAAAGCAACAAAACCAAATTATAATATTTTGTTTTCAAAATGTTTTTGCAGGCTTGATTGCGGAATCCTTGTTTGCTACATCATAAGGCAATATGTTTCCAATAACAACATAATGCCTACTTTTTCCAAGGAACAATGCAATCAATTGAGAGCTGATATGTTAAGTATCTTCTTGACTGACCAACAAGTTGCTCAACGACAAATACCTGGTGAAAACATTGATGACTTGCATCTGCAATAATCAACAAATCTAGAATAGAAGAAAAGGAAACACTGATTCATTTGGCTGTTAGAATGTCAATACTTCATACATTTTGCTTGTTTGCTTGTTACAGTGTTACCTGTATTTTGATGATTTTGGTTCTTACTTTCCTCCAATGAATGTTACAATGCTTCATTGTTACAATGTCAAAGTTATGGACGGTGCTTGGTTATTACAATGTCAAAGTTATGGACAATGCTTGCTTGTTACAATCTCAAATTTGCTTCAATGAAACATTCAGTCTTTTTTAGCCATATCGTTACCAGACCTGGCTTTTCATATCAGTCTTGTTATCTAAATTTCATTCAAAAAATTAATTCTAATCTGAGTATTTGTGTTGAATTTAAAGGTTAATAACAGGTTTGGAGTCACTACACCGATAAATTTATTTTTTATAGTGTTTTGTTTACCTTGATAAATTTATCACTGTTTCAACAAATTTATCACTATAAACACTAATAAATTTACCAATGTTCAAACAAAAAAACCAGCGACTCTCTCTCTCTCTCTCTCTCTCTCTCATTCTTTTTCCCGAATTCAAGTAAACAAAATGCTATAAAAAATAATAAAAAATTTACCTAATTGAAAATTAAAACACAAGCACTATTAAATTGTCCAAATTGGAAATTAAAATACTGTTACAATTTGTAGATATTCCCAACTTTGAGAATGAATGTAAGAACATGCCATCCTTAGTGATTTCTCAATAATCACAACCATTTGATACTTTAGTTAAACAACTCAAACATCCAAAGCTAGCTTCTGAGTGACCACATATAGCAATCCCGGTATTCCCTGTTGTTATTGAACTGTAATCCGGACTTGGTTCCGTAGATTTGTTGTTGTCTTATCCTCTTTTCTATCTCGTACTCTTTATCTTAGAGTTTTGGGTTGTGTTGGACTT